ACAATGCCAGCACGAACCGGGGGTATCGATAGCTTCCTGGGCGTGTTCCAGCCCAAGGCAGGACGAGCAGACCTGGTGTGAGTCCGTGCTCGAGATCTTAAACCCGCAGCCGCAGAGCCGAGCCTCCGACTCCTCTGGTGTGAGGGAGAGAAGGGTCCATCCTCGTTTGCCGGGGTGTCGGCGCGAAAAAACAAGCTAGTAACAGGTATGTTACCGAGAAAATAAATCCAACCTTATCGTTATTCCGAAAGAAAAAAACTACGGGGTAGATTTTTTTTCCTCCAAAAAATATTAACTGGTGTGTTAATATCTTTCTTATCTCCGTCTCCTCTGGTGTGAGGGAGAGAAGAGTCCATCCTCGCTCGCCGTGGTGTCGGCGCGGAGGGATAAACTAGCAACAGGTATGTTACTGTTTGAAGAAAAAATCAAACCTTACCATTATTTCGAAAGAAAAAACTGCGGGGCAGATTACAATATTAACTGATGTGTTAATATTTGTTCAATTCTTCTGCAAAGCAAAAAAGTAACCGGCAAACGCCCGTCGACCGAATGTTAGCTTGGGTTCAGTCTGTGGACCGTTAAGCTAGCCCGGCTACTGATATTCGAGATGTGCTCTGAAGCGAGAAGAGGTGTTTGAATGATGCTGTGACGTAGCACATGCAAGCTACTTAAAGGTGGGGTAGGTCATTCTGGAGAAACCAGCTCGAGTGCGCTAGAATTTGAAAATACACAGCAGTAACAAATCTGCCACTTCCTCACAGAGCCCCTCCTCCAACACACACGAACGCGCACATGACCAATGAGGGCACGAGATAAGTTTGTGCACAGATGGAAAGCTGACAGGCAGGTAGGCTATCCAGTTATTTTAGCCGGGCTGGCTAAAATGATTGGTTGTGCTTTTTACAGTACTACGGCTTCCACAGATGACATTTTTGTATGGATTTTTTGTCAAAGCACTTCAGATATTCATTGCTATCGGGATGTTAAGAGCATTCCATGGAATATAACAAAAAGTGTATCTCGAGCCGGTTTCTCAAACTTACCTACCCCACCTTTAAAGGGTGGGTGGATTCCCTGACGTAGACCTCAAGATCACCAGCCAATCAGGATTGGCGTAATGAGATTGATGCTTCTGTTTGCATACGCGTTGAGGCGCATCCCATAGTGATACATCAAACGGAGTGTTATGAATGAGAACGTAATTTGTCCTTTCAAACTCATTGAATAATTCCGTATACTCTTTATATTTCTTACCTGTTGTTTCAGTAGGGCCACATGTTTCCTGTTAGCATTTTTCTTAATATTTTAACATCATCACCAACAACCCAATTTATTTTAACTAAGATACAGTTCTTTGTCTTCACCAGCAGGTGGCAACATAGTACAGATGTGGCTCAGCAGATGGTAGAGCATCATGTACGGCTATTAATACTAAACATATCATCATTGTTCTGACATACGCATGTGTGTAGTACACTCATCTGATCGAGGTGTTTGGAGAGAATGACGAAAGTACAAATAGTCTTGCCTGTGCAGCAATGTTTTTCTATTTCATAACACAAACATGAAAATGACCTGTCTTGTCTAATTATTTAAACAACAACTACATCCGCACAAACACTGGGCTGTTATTGATGCACCCACAGCCCCCACAATACATAAGTCTCCCAGTGTCCGTGGGCTTAAGACACCAAAGGCTAAAACAACAAAGACTACTGTGAACTTAATGAACCTTAAAGGAGTACTCCTACCACAAAATGGCTATTTGTATATAAATTACTCACCGCTATTTCCTTCAATTATTGAGGAAAAACTAAAGAAAAACACATTTTTATAAAAATGTAAACATTACTATTCAAAAAACGGTAAGAGTAGCACGCATGCACAATCATAAGACTGTTAGAGGTTATGTAATTCAAGGTGACACAGGGTGAGTAATTGATATACAAATGATTGTTGGTGGTGAAGACTTCCAAAAGCATCTTTGTGAGGGATCACTTGTAAAAATGTCAATCTTCACTTGACAAAAATGGTTATGAAACAATGTGAGATTGAGTGACACTATGTGATTTATTCAGTTTGAAATGTTGCCTAGGGGGCCTTCCACATTAAAACAGACTACAATCTAACCCAACAGTTCCTTTGTCTCTTTATGGCAGCCTAAAGTTACTGCACCACTGTGTGTTTACTCAAAAGGAGGTTCACCGGTGAATGATTGCAGGGTCCAAATAAACAGATATTCAACTTGACTTCAGTAATTCATCTCGAGCTGGATGATCCTTTTGTGTGCCCTCCTAAGGGCTATAGACAAACTGAAGGTGGGCTTATACTGTAAGTGCCACTCAGAGAGCAATTCATATTAAGCTAAATCCATCTGCATTCTTGTCCGGATACAAGGTCTGTGTTTCCCTCGTGGAGAGCCTTTAAAAGAAATGCGCAACTGACTGCCAGACTTCCAGTTAAAGACAAGTCAATCTGTTTGGGACTGGACTCTCTGTGACCTGAGAGTCAGATCCTCCTGTGGGGCTAACCCTCACACACGTTTTCTTTTAAACCCTGAAAGCTGAAAGAGTCTAAGAAGAGTCCTCCTACAGCGATGTGGTCGTACTGCTGCTTTGTTTGATCCTTTAACCGAGGCCAAGAGTGTAAAGTGTGTGTTGTAAACAGTGCTATGGATGATCCTTTATGTGGAGTAAACAGCAGCGTGTACATTTTTCATAAAACACAAGAGAGGTTTGTTCAATCCTTAAACGAGCCTTTCAATAGCGGGTGTAATGGCTGGTGTTATTTCTACATTTCAATAAAGCAGCATTTTTTATGTGATGTCACACTCAAGATGAGGTAAGGAGGAGCAAGTAGTGTTGTGTGTACCAAAAGGCACATTATACATTGGCTAAAAATGTCCAGATTTTGGAATAAAACATGTTTTAGAATATATTTTATAAAGTGATCACACCCAAGGTGGCTAGCCAGAGCTGTACCTTGCACATTTTAGCTAGTTAGCTGCTTGAGGGTAAAGTGACGGCTGCAGTCCATAGCTTCAATTCCAGTTCACAGACCACAAAACAACATTTTGCCTTTTTGGGAAACATGCTTATTCCCTTTCTTGTTGAGAATTAGATGAGATTTTAGTGCGACAAATATGAAGCAACAGCCTGAGTCCAATCTATGCTATGCTAACCGGCCTTAGCTCCATACACACTTACAGTAAGGGGACCAGATTTTCAAAATTAAAACCGGGGGCATTTTGAGTTTTGCGGTCAAAATCTCATTAACATATCCAATTTTCTTCACTGAAAAAAGGGGGAGAATTCTGGTTCAATGTAATTCGAACATTTTAACTGTTGGATACAAACAGAAGGACGATAGCTCATATATGAGACTTCAAAGGTCTTTAATTTTGAAACTGCACATCAGATTGTCCAGATACTCTCTGAGTGATTAGATGGGGTTTCCTGCTATCACCCTGAAGTGAAGTAAGTATTTGATTGACTTCGAATGACTCTTTGACTATGGATGGTTCCATTAAATAATAATCAAAATATAGATGGACAATAGATCTAATTTGAGATTTTAAACAGCATACATTTGAAATTGTGCTCCAGAAAGTAATGTTATTTTAGGAGTGTTGTGAGATGGTGTCAACATCAATTGAATGAGTCACCCAGTGGAAATGTCAGATATGTCTTCTGTATCCTTACATTTTACATTCACTCAGTTATCTGGTAGTTATATACGTAGTATGTTTTAAATGATTATTGATCACATTATATAGTACATATTTCTTAATTTAAGCTCCAGTATATATGAATATGTTTGGTGTGTTTTTTAGGTATATTTGTTTTTGGCCGAGTAAACGCTTTTATTTTGAAGGCATATTTTACAGGCCTCTACCGTAATGCATAGGATATTCGCGCACCGCAATCAGACCGCAATACAACGTGCGGGCTGGCTTGACTGTGTTTTCCGAAGTGGGGGCTGGCTTGACCACAGTCTGTAGTGTTTACCCAGTGTTTCCTGACATGAAACGTTTTATTTCACGTTGCTATGTGTTTTTTAATTTTTTTAAACGGGGACATTTCCGGGGACAGTTTCAACCGGGGACAGGGCAATACAAACGGGGACTGTCCCCGGAAAACGGGGACGTCTGGTCACCCTAACTTACAGTCATGAATGCGGTATCAACTTTCCAAATAAAAGCAAATAAGAATATTTCCCAAAATGCAAACTTCCTTTAACTTCCAGATTCATGAGTCAATCTGCACTTGTTTAAACATGTCAGAGAAAGTTAGAGAAAGAGACTTGCTCGAGGATGCTGCTGGAGTTATATCAATAGACAAGAAAAATACTTGCTGTTGTTGCCCCAGAAAGCCTATCATATATATAGTAGGATAACATTTTGGATGATTTGTACCAGATTTAGATTGAACTTGAAGAAGTGCTTAATTTAAAAGGTCATTTTGTGATGTTAGGGTTAGAAGGCATCTGCAAACACAGTTAACAACCCAGCACAGCTCATTTTTACAGCAATTGGAACTTGTGTACCTTGATGTGAGTGAGTCTGATTGATTACTCGTTGGGTCGCTTCACTGTGTTCAGAGTCCGGTGGAGGTCAGGCAAGAGGGGGCGGTGTTAGAGGTCAGGGTTCAAACCAAGCAGAACATTATCGATGCCATGTGCTGACACATATGAGTTCTGTTCCAACAATCTGCAATTGCGTCCTTTCCCCACTCCTCTTTGTTCTGATCAGTGATTTTAATATCGATGAGAAAGCAATGAGATTTCAGGTCGACCAAGGAGTTAAAAATGGGAAAGTGAGGAAAGGAGGCCACGATGAAGCGTTTGGGATGCAGTCCTCTCACAGATGGGCTGAGGGAGGCGAGCACATATGTTAAAAATGGCCACCACCTCCAGCATCAAGGGACAGATCAGGATTAGAGCCATACCAGGACAAATGAACACACAGACATTAACACAGGGAAAGAGATGACAGCCACATGAAAGTTCAACGTTACTTCTTTTATTTTAAAATAATCTTATTTTCTCATTTAGTTCTTTAGAGGGTAATTTTGTTGCCATGCCTTAAAAGTTCGCTACTATCCACTTCTAAACATCTCAGGACCTCACAATAGAAGTCCTCCACCGAGGCCTACATCTTTGACTTTAAATAAAAACTCTTTAATAATAATAATAATAATATTAATTTTATTTCTGTAATGTTATCTCATTTACAAAAAGTAAAATATTTCTGTAAAATAAAAATAAACAGATACAGTGGCTCATAACATAAAAATAATACAATGTTTTCATTTGATATGTTTTTCCCCCGTCAGCAGGGGTCAGTTAAATGAAAAAATAAAAATAGCCTAGATTTTCATACATTTCATTCAAGGCTTAATGAAATCTCTGAAAGCTGTTATTCCTATACATACATTTAATACATGGTTAATTAATCTATAAATTACCTTAGTGATTTACGTCTAAATCCTATATCTGCCGGGTCAAATGTGGGTTGAACTAAGAGTTAAATGATAATCTCCTCACTGCTTACATAGGCGCTTTTTTGACAAGCACTGTGTTTAAATGCAGCCCCAATGTAATCTGTGACTCTATAGTGTTTCAGATGAGACTGACACATACCCAGTATTAGTTTAATATCAGGGAGAGAAATGATTTCCTGGGGGTGGCAGTGCAGACTCCGGCTCAATCCAATGAAAGGATGGAAAATAATCCAGCGTCTGTAGTCATTCTTTTGCCTGAAGAAACACTATTAACCTTTGGCACGGAGTTAATTGCTTTTTGCAGCAACGGCCTGAACTCGGAATCAGAATTTAGGGGGTCATGTATGCATTTGCTTCAGTTTGATTAGCCCGCTTAAATCTGATTTTTAACCTCCTGGGTGGGCACTTGTTATTGTTATAACAGTTCATTTAATGTCTGCTCAGGCCACTCAATTGAAATTCAGATTTTCTGGTGGAAATAGCTAATTCCTGAGGTTTGAAAAGCCTTGACCATCCTTTTATTATCTGCTGTGATAGAATACGTGATGTTCATGCTTACTTATGCTATGGGTTCTTTTTTTTAAACTCTACTCCCAAAAGCATTTCATTCTTATATTAATAAAACCATAGCTACAAGCTACTGTAGAAAACAATGGCACAATATCTCATGAATAAGTGACATAATTATTTAATCTTTTAAAGTTTAGCACTGTGTTTTCTTTGTGACTGTTGACTTTGCTGACCTTTAATATTTCAAATGCAATTTAGCATAAGCAGCCTTGTGGTGGGGACGGAAATATCCTATGTTTGAACATTAATCAGAATGTTTTCCCGTATCTAATTTGAGAGAAAATAATGAATACACATTACTAAATCAGTAACTGGCCTGTCTCTTTTCTTTTTTACTCCTCCACAACATACTCAGAGAAAGACATGTCTGTTTAGTAGGGTTTGCTCAACATGCATTCGGGGACTGGGACTATGTGCATGCATGTGACACATGTACTTTCTATCTAGCGAACATCAAGGATTGCACACTTTTCATGGCGGTAAAGGGATGTGTTGTACAACCGAATTAGAGGCGGATTTGAGGAGTCTGCATGTTGCCGACAGGAAACTGTTCTCATCATGGCAGTGTGGAAGGAAGGGGGATGGGCCAGGCAGGACAATAAACAGGGAGGAGTTCAAGTTAGAATGTAGTGAGAGGGGGGGGTACATGTTAAAAAAATAACAAAAAAGGCATTCAGGACAAGGAGACATTTACACGCACGTCAATTGTTGTTATTTACAAGTACAGCAGTCCTTCAAGTTTCCAGTTGAGTGAAAACAAAAAGTCAAAATGTAGAGAACAATTAAAAGATCCACTAACACAGCTGTTTTTTGAAGGGCAGATACAATAGAACATATCCACATGGTCGCTGTCTCACACTATTTACAGGACTGGACATACATACAGGTGCAATTTGCTTGTAAAGGTTTACACTTCAGCGAAGCAAGACCTGCCTCCGGCTTCTGACATGGCCTCTGACCATGGACACCACACGCATGCACACACATACAGTATTGTATGCATGCGTGTGAAAGTGCACACATTATCATGTCTGTACACACTGACATCAAACACACACCCATCCTCTCTCACACAACACAATGCAGTCCTCTGATAATGGCCACAAAGGCTCTCCAGGTGCCTCGCTCGGACATGTGTGCTTTACCAGTCTGCATCTTCCTCTATGTAATAATCAGGCGTGGAAGTACCATCAAACAAACCAGGGTCGAGGGACTTGCGCTGCTTCCCCCGGGCGAAGACACGCGAGAGAGAGCCCAGGCCTATCTTCTCTTTCTTCTTCTTTCGCTTCGCCTCCTCCAGATCTTCTAGGGACTGAGGGAAGTGAAAGAAAGAGGGAGCGGAGCAGATGAAGAGAAGGAACAGAGGGAAACACGAGCGGAGAAGTCAGTGAAGTGGTGCGGAGTGGGCGATAATGACCACTAAAGATAAAGATCACAACACAGAGGGGAAGTGTTACTTGACATGCTGCCAGGCATGCACTTATGCAACAACCACAGCTGGTTTTTAACATATATTCACAGCTGCAGACAGACTGCGGGATGATCTGGTTGGAGGAAAGCGAGAGCGGCCACGGAGCGGGACACTCGGCATGTTGCTACAAAGCGGGTGAATACTTGTGAGGCAGCTCTTACATTGCAGAGGGAGTGAGTCCGGTGGCGTGGGGAGTTGATGTCGCTGGGCGTGGACGACCGGTCCCCCTCCAGCGCCGAGGCGTCGGAGATGATGGAGGAATGGCGCGAGTGGCACGGGCTGACCCGCACGGCCGCCACTAGACGAGACGAGAGGGAGAACACAGAACACTTGTTTTCTTTCGGCCGTGTTTGGGCACCAACAGCAGTGAACAGGAAACATCTGATTCTTCTCAACAACACCCTTGAATGAAAATATATTTTAAAAGCCCCTGACCAGAAGCCTGCAATTATTTGCAATCATCTGCAGTTGCTAAGCAACAGGGAAAACAGCTTCACAGAGGTTGAGAGTGTGTGTTTGTGTGTGTGTGTGCCATCAATGATACGGATACATACAGTACAGCAGACTGCATGGTAATTTGGGGGTTCGTGACTGATCACACTTTTTCCTGTTTTGTAACTTTGTCTGCCTCTTCCTACAGACGTCAACAATTAGTGAGCAACCTGTCTGAACCCGCGGCTGACACAAGGTAAGGGAGGATGAGAGGGTCGTTACTCTGGAAAGAAGTGATTTGAGTGGAACTGCAGGGGCCAGATTAGATGTTTAGTTACATGTTTTTTTAAATGTTGGTAACCCTCTCAGTTACATTTACTAAAAATGGGGATTGTGAGCAGGATTACAATGACAATGTTATAGTAAACATTTGTGTAAAGAACATTTTACACCACATGTCACACAGGTTCACATGTCAGAACATTAATTAGGTTACTAAAGATCAGATTAGGTGACTGAATACATTTCTGAACAGGTCATTAGTATTTGTATTGGAATACCACAACAAATGACACTTAGATATTAAATCTGATGGGATCATTATTATTTCACTATCGACATTATTTCTTTTTTTTGCAAATATGGACCAATTTTGACCAGTGTAGTCAGTAAAAAGTGATCCTACAGTATCTAATGTTGAAGGAAGCCTGGAAAGTGGAATAAGGGCCAACAAATGTCAGGTACAAAAAGGTGCAAAATGTAGACAAATATTAAAACAGTTAAATAATGACATTTAACCAGACAGACACAGGACTCAACACCCAGCTGATCGTCAGCTGCCACCTTTATTAAACACAGAGGAAACATTTATTCAGCTACAGTTATGTGAGCTGTATCTGAACATATATAAAGCGCATGAAATGCAATGTGTTCGCTCTGAGCAGATGAGCAGAGGAGTGAATGAGTGCGAAGCAGCTTCCCATGAGCATGCAGAGGTTAATGATGGTACAGTCACTGTGTGTGTTACCAACCCAGTCTCCTACAAATAACATAAAACTAAACTGCATTCTCAATAACGCTTCGAGGGAAAAGTATTTATCTCAGATTAGGGTTCCGGTATTTAACACGTGGTTAATGTTGTGAAATTGAAACAAAACAAAAAATACTTAATATTTTGTGTTTAGGCAAGGAAATGACTTGTTTTGTTTGTAGACATACATTTAAATAAGTCAACATTGACTTTTGGTTCAACATGGGACACAGAGAGTGGTCTATTGTGTTGTTTACCCACCCATACACTCGGACCTCCTCAATGCACAGACTTCTGTGGACTCATTAGGAAGTTGTTTGCCAAAAGTCAATCTCCCTCGAAAACGTAACTGACAACACAGTGTTGATGTTAAGGAAAGGATTGTTTCCAGAGACCAGGCTGGTGTAACAGTACATGTGCTCATGTTGTTCCTACCTTGTCTGTCAGTGGCATGCCCCGTGTGGACGTAGAGGGTCTGCTGACTCTGTCTGATGGCAGCCGTCAGGGGAAGATCAGCGTGCATCACCCACTCCTGGTTGTTGCCGTTGACAACCGTTTCCGTGGGCATGGCCAGAGAGTGACGCTTTGGCACGTCCTTGGTCAGAGTGGCTAGAGACTGTTTGGCCTTCAGAGGGTACACAGACAGATGGAAGAAAAACATCAAGTAGAGAAATTATGCTGGGTTGTTGGCGCTGTCACAGTTATTGTTGTTTTTATTTATCTGTCATATGTGTGCCCACACGTGAATGTGTGTGTATGTATCCAGAATCCTGGTACTGAGTGCATGGAGACGTGTGAGCTCTCCCCTGGGCTCCTCATGGGATGTTGTCTCATGAAAAATGCAGCTGATTTCATGTTAGCCGTTTGTTGTGTGAAATCTCTTCTTACCCCTTCATAGAACGCAGAGAAGGAAAGGGAAGAATATCTGGAGGAGGATTTTAGTGTATCACTTCTCAGAGATTGGAAAATGGAAATAAGGAACATTTTCTTTAGCTTTGGCACTAATCTCTTGGCAGAGAACACAATGAGCTGCTGGAGTTCTGAGAGATGTGTTTGTGCAGGTGTATTTTGTGTCAGTCAAAACCTTTGATTCTGATTACACTTTGTATGTCAGTGTTTCACAAATGCTTGAAACCTTGTTATTGTGCAAATCTTATCACCATGCCAAGCGACGGCATTCTGCAAATCAACACCGAAGCAATCAGCTACGTGGCAATCATCTCTCCCCACCAGCGGTCAAACGATTATCAATCACACTCTTTGACATGCAAAACAGAACACAATCACAGACCTCAGGAGTAATGATTAGTCATCAGAATATTTCCCCCCCAAAGCACTTCCTCGCTCAATTAAAAAAAGCACATTCAGATCAATCACAGCAGGAACTCGTGGGATCACTGATGTAAGGATCACTGGGATCAGTCAGGGGCGGCTGAGGGGTTAGTCGAACACGTGCAGCTAGGAAGAGAGGGGGCTTTCCATAAAAATCACATTAGGTCACCAGCAGGAGAGATTCCCAGGGAGTTGAGGGTCAAGAAAGGTCACATTTCAAAGTTGAGGGCCCATCTTACCGCGTTGACCCTAGGAGAGTAGTCCCTGTCCGATACACGCTCAAACACCCGGAACTCCATTCTCTGATTGACACAGTTACTCATCTGGGGGGTGGAGACATGATGCAAGCTATAGTGTACATTTAAGGTTTTTCTGTTTGGTTATATGCAGTACACTGAAAATTAGTCCAATAGTGATAGACAGACGTACTATAATAAAACAATAATTAAACCTATCATTTATTTTCTGTATTAGGACTGCACCGTATTAGCTAAATATGTGATATGTGATAACGGTGTTTAATATTGCGATATACTGCAACTTGTATTAAATAAACAGATATTAAAGTGTACACAGTTCCGTTGTACACCCCTGCTTTCAGTACACTTTTAAAATACAACAAATTGCTTGCTGAAGAAAATACAATTGTGAACATCTATTACAACATTTTCAGTTTTTAAAGGTCCCATGTCTTGGCCATTTCTACTGATCATAATTCCATTGTTGAGGTCTACTAGAATAGATTTACATCGTTCAATTTTCCAAACTCACATTGGTTTCTCATACAGCATCTCTGTATAGTATGTGTATTCACTCTCTGTCCTAAACGCCTCGTTGGAGAAAAATCTCCAACGAGGCGTTCTGGGGCAGCATAGACAGGTATTTTCTGTGTTAGAGTTTTACTCGCTACAGGGTGTACTTTGAGGGTTTGTGACTTTGCAGACCGTTTACATGCAGAAAAAGCTTCATAACACACAAGGGGACGGGTAATAAACGGAAAAGCATGACATGGGACCTTTAACATTAAACTGAATACAAAAATCCCCAATATAAAACAACAACAGATGGTTACACGTTAGTGTTGTTTTCTACTGATACTGTATTTCAAATAACTCTTTAAAATTTATTTTAAAATGATATATTGTGCAGCCCTTATTTGTATCTGTATGTTCTGCTAATGTTTGCTGTAAATATCTTATAAACAGAGAAAATCTGAGTTAACGATGACAAAGAAACGCATCACAGAGTCTCTCAACCTGTGTGTCTATGGTCTGTTTGTGTGTGTGTGTGCGTGTGTGTGTGTGTGTGTGTGTGTGTGTGTGTGTGTGTGTGTGTCTCACCATGGCCAGCTCAGCCTCCAGCTCCTTGATGCGGTTCTCCTTGAGGTCGAGTTGGGATCGCAGCAGCCCCGTGTGCTCCGTGGCTTCCTTGGTCTGCCGCCGCAGGTCCCACTTCTCTCTCTCCAGCAGGTCCTTCTCTTTGGCCAGGGCCTTCACCGCATCCTCGCTCTCCTAGTAAACACACACATCCTGATGGATTGGTTCACATATCAAGCGTATCATTAATATAAACAAATATCAAAGCTGCTAAATGAACGAGGTTTTCTGACACGGTCTGATGTCTCGAACAGTAAGGCTTCGAGTAGAGTGGTGACATTGGTCCGTCCCTTTTCAGCACCGAAAATAATTGTTTCTGTTTTGTTGCTATTTAATTGTAAGAAATGTAATGGTCCATAGTCGTCAGGGTTAATTGTAATGTAGATCTGAGTGTCATCCACGTAGTTATGGTATGAAAGGTTTTTTCTCAGGATATGTGCAAGTGGAAGTATGTAAACATTGAAAAGAACTGGACCAAGAATGGACCCTTGGGGAACTCCACCTGTCATGGGTATTTTCACGACTTTAACTGAAACAAAAAAGTCTCTGTCCTGCATATGTGATTCAAATGCATCACATGCTTTGCCAGATAATTCAGCCCATTTTTACGATTACTTTTAAGGTCAACTGTATTGATCGCTGCACTGAGGTACAGCAGTATTAAGATGGTGATTTTGCCATTGTCAGTGTTTAAATAAGTGTAATTTAAAACCTTTATAAGAGCAGTGCTATGATGTGGCTGGAATCCAGATTAGAGAGTATCAACACAGTTGTTTAATGACAGGAAGATGTTGAGCTCATAGAAAACCGCTTTTTCTATTATTTGACCCAAAACATACTGTACACTGCATGCACACATATTATATTTTAAGGACTATTTATGAAACTAGTGATTGTTTAGTGCTGAAAGAGGCCTTCTGTGCTAATGTGCATCAATCCATCACAGCTAGCTAAACAAGAAGGTACTATTTTATGGATGTTTTTGTGTTTGCGCTTGTGTGTGCCTGTTAATGGTCAGAACACAGTTGCCATACTTTTCTGTGCTGCTCATAGTTGCGGATGAAGTCGCGGAGCTGCTCCTCCCGGCTCTCCAGTGTGGCGTAAAGCTGCTGCATCTGGTTCACCAGGTCTGCTTTCTCCGCCTTCAGACGCTTACGGTCCGACTTCATGGCTGCAAGGCAGGATGGGGGGGAGACAGAGAGAAAAGGGGTGGGGGGTATTGTTGGCATCAGAGACTAGCAATATTGGGTCAGGGTTTAAAGGAAAACAACCGACATACATAAAAGCATACATTTCAAAGTCTTTATTGTCAATCTTCTATGTGAGATACAGATAGGGAGATCGAAATGCTGTTTCTCACAATCCCGAGGAATAAAAGTTAAATATCTAAAAATACCTACATAGTCAAATAGAGACACAAACTGTACAAATTCCCAAATTAAGAGGCATCAATAAGAAATAGAAAAAAAGGAAGAAATACATTTATATGTAATAAAATCAATCAATACATTTTTATTCTCATGAAAAATTGTTCTCTTGTGTTTTTAACAGAATTGTTTAAAACCATTATTGAGAGAATGTATACATGTTACGCATGTAAATTACCAAAAAATAAATGTTGCCCTAGGTTACTGAGAAGTGATTTTAGTGAGAACAACGATTTGTGACATTGGTGAGCTTTCTAAAGATCATCCTTTTAGATAGTATTTTGTTTTATTCTCTAAGACAATTACACAATCAGGCGTATTAAGTGCAAAAAGGAGATCGATGTGCAACATTTCTTTCTTTTTCATTTTAAAACACAGTACATGTTAGGGACGTGCGCAATTTGACTAGTCGATTACATGTACTGAAAATACTACATGGTCAAATCTCTTCTTCTTCCTATGTTATTTAATGCCTTTAAATAGCATACTGACTTAATTTTCACAAAAATGTCATGTCTTCCTATTCAAATGTTACTCCATAAAAAAACAGCATTAGCATTAGCTACTGATTAACGTCAGGTTTTAAAAGGTTTTAGAGTGGAACATATTGAGTAAAATGGCATGGTACATGTTGTCCAGCAGATTGTACCAATTTCTTCAAGAAGCCCGATTAATTTATTAGGAGCTTTCAGGTATGAAGCGTTTTAAGTGAAAACGTTAAATCGCCTGCTGCCAGTGTAATGTGGCGTGGCTGCCTGTTGATAAAGAGGTGAATCACACATGAACCCTCCTGTCAATCTCCTCTCTGCTGCTGCATTCTCTCCTTTCATCTATCTCCCTGCCACACTCTATAATCCTCTGGCTCCTCACCCACGCATCAAGATAAAGAACAAGGTTGAGTGTAGTTATAGTTAAGACAACATATCCTGTTCCTCTCCTCTGCATCTCCTGATATGTCTTGATTTTCTCTACCTTTTCATGCAAGGCTGTTTACCAGACATCTGCTTAAAGCTGAAACCCGCCTCCAGCTATCTTTCCGAAAATACAACATAGGCTTTATTTACATTTAATGTATTCTCTCTACCTTTGTCTTCTTCACTTTCTTCTATTTCTGTACAGCACAGCAGCTGCTGGATATTCCATGACATTAAACAGTCCTCTGCTTCCCTCTTGATACTTGTTATCATGTGTTCACCTTTCTCTTTGTTCCCCTTCCGAGCCAAATGCATGTCATTAATTAACTTATATCACAGCCTGGTTAATCGCGTGAAATTCACAAGTTGTTGTCTGGGGAGCACACTCAGGCGGGTGGAATGGAAGGGCACTTTTACAAGGACAGATTCACCCTCTCTTTTACCTCTGCTTCCTTTTTCTCCTGTCACACTTTTTTTATCGCTCCCCCTTCGCCTATTCTTCAGAGGTGGAATTCCTTGAAGAAAAAGCGACATTCAAGCCGAACTAGCCTCCGAACGAGGACAAGAAACATCTCTCATTGGTCCAAGAGAAACAGGAAACCTCGGAGCACCTGCCTCAGGAAGTGAAATCAAAGCCGTCTTTGAGAAGAGCCAAAAAACGCTGCTGCTGCCGCCTCACATCCTGCACCTGTGACCGTTTGGCAACATCAACGCTCTTGGTGTCGGATACAAAAGAGCACTCACTGTGACTCGGTAAAAAGGCTCCATTCACATTCGCAAATCATGTTAGCACTGGTACTAATCATTTATAACCAGTGTGTGAAGACTTTTAATGAACTAAGACAGTCCTTGGGTCTCATTGCAATTTCTTTACGCTTAACAATGTAGGTGAGATGGGGAAGCACGAGCATGTCTCCTCCTGCTGACAGTCATATTAATAACTAACATACCCGGTGGCTCGGTCAAAGCTTCCAACAATTACTACCAGATGAAAAGAAGGAACCACCTGGGAAACCATACAGATCTAAAGCTAATATGCGTGGAGCTGGAGGAGGAGGAGGAGGACATGGAGAGGAAGACGCTTCACTTTAATAGTCTTTTCATGGAGAAGTGATATTCATGCAGGCACTTATTTTCTGTCCTTCCATGCACTGCAGGAATAAATTATGTGTATTTCAGGTATTTCTTTACAATCAAATCTAGTTTCCTAATCGTTTACAATATGCATCAAACATGCATAAGTGTTTTTTAGCTCACAACAGGAAACCTTTTTTGCTACCAAAGCCCTTGTGCTTAAAGTAGTTTAATGTGAGCAGCTACTACTGCAGTGGGCTAAAAGCCTCTTCTCTGCCGCTGTGCCGCTGGAGGGCTTAGATTACCTGCAACTAGTGGGCCAACACATTAGTTACTACACTGGAGTCCTAGAGTTACTACTGACGGGAGCCACGTTTTGATATTGTTTTTATTAAAAGGAGTAGTTTAATATTCTGTAAAACAATTTTTTCTCTGCTTGGTGCCTGGCCTCTTCACACATTTTTCTCAAGCCAAGAAACAGTCACTCACAAGCCACTTTAAAACAAGTGTTTGTACGGATTAAACAAACGAGATAAAACCCTGTTAATAAATTAGCTTTAGATGTGCTTCAGATAGAGTCATGCCAGCCGGTTTCCTCTGTTTCCAGTCAATATGCTAAGCTAAGCTACCCAGCTGCTTCAGGCTTCATACAGTATTTAGCGTATACAGACTTAAAGGTATCATTCATTCATCTTACTCCAAGTAAGGGGGCAAATAAGTGTGCTTCTCCAAATGTTCACAAAACTCTTGAATAAATACATGTATAGATTCATATAAATAGATGGCGGAAGATGGTGAGATTTTTGTGAGTGTTTATTGTGTCCGTCTGCTTCCTATACTGCAGGAGGAGATGTGTTGCTACCTGCTGTGAAAACATGTCCCCAAAGGAACCTCTTTTTTAAGTGACGTGAATAAAAGCTAACAACATCCGCTGCTGTTTGGGAAAAAGCAAGAAACAAACAATTTCCTGTTACCTTTCACACATACAGGGGGTCGTGTTGGATACTAGAAGGATTGACTTTCACTTACATGAATATAATACATGTTATGAGGAAGAATACTCTGTTGGTAATTCTGAGGATAATCAAGTGTCAAATGTTATTCAGCAGGAAAATACTTCCTGATATCTCTTGATTGTAGAAAACTAAATCAAACTCAGCTAACGAGGTGGCTGCGGTTCATAGCCATCTCTGTGGAACGCTTTTCACATCCCACTCACTGCTTCTCTCTTGTTAAATAGCAGCCCTTATTATCTGGTGTGCCCTATCTATTATGCTGCAAATATAACAAGATCACAGCCCTGATTCGAGCTGAATAACATTTCCTGACTTTCCTTTTCCAACTCGCTTCAATAATCAAGTTTTCACTTCAGTCACTGACTAAAGAATATGGGTAAATAAAGGGTTGGCACACAATTCCCTTTCTTTTAGGGGAATGTAAGTCCACCTTGGCGTATGTCATCTTTATATATTTCAATACATTAAATATTGTGTGATAGTAATCCAAGTTCAGGTGGCTTGCATCAACAAACCGGATAGAAAAGATAGACCACTTATCAACCCCCACTGAGAAAATGATGTTCTTCACATTAATGAATGAAACCACTTCACACTGACCCTACTCCATATAACTTCAGTCCTAAAGAGACGGGACAGGCTTTTAGTCGGCTCTTAACATAATTATTTGGGGGAGAGAACAAAAGAGACATCGGCTCATTGGAGGGAATCCATTGTTCACGGTTTGGGATTTTAAATCTGCCAGCTGAATAATGAAGTGGGAGCCTCAGAGCTGCGCAGTGCTCATCTCCTCTTCTTTCTCCGTAAGAACACACTCTGTTTGAGGTTGATATGTGCATTGGTGCTATGTAACAGTCCGTAATGTATGCAGGTCGTGTTACTACTGCATCCCACTCCTTTGCAGTCATGGTGACATTCAAACACGTTAATTCATGTTTCATCACGATCCTACAAACCAGCGATGACATTTGACCCTTGTTATTGTAGTGTATGCACAACCTAGAAGCTAGCCATTACAAATACATCAAACGCTGCCTACTAATGGGTGATTTAAGTGTGTGTATGTGAGTGTGAATTAGTGGGTACACAAGCTATTAAGGCAGCAGATCTGACACACTAGGGAATCATGGGGAGAATCAAACTTTGATCCCACACCAGGACCTCATTACTCACTTCTCTGTCTTCACTGCATCCAAAACAACATTGACTGGCACTGTAATCTTTAGAGAGACTATTATTATTATTATGTCTTTATTGAACAAGGAACGTGTGTATAAAAGACATTCAAGATGCTATATGCCAGATTATAGATTAAAGCTAATTTCCATCGGCAGTCCAAGTTTGGGCAGGTATAACACATATCGGACACCTAAAACATGTCTTAGTGTCCATCACAGTCACAGCTCAGGTTCAGTTGTTATGTCACAAAAAGAGGGTCAGCTGATAGAACAACACTGGCACAGTATCTCTTATAGATAACCAGGGGGTGTCTGTGATACAAATCCATCCATGTTTGAAAGAATTAAGTGCAAATTGAATAAAGAAAACCCTCGTCACTTGCTATTATAATGTTGTAATGGATTAAGGAATCAGCTTAGAATGATTTATTTCCAGTTTTAGAAAATTACATTTCTAATAAAATGTCTTAATTTGTTAAAAAAAAACATCATTAAAATGTTTGCAATTACTTGAATGTAATCAGGTTAAGGAGCCTGATGAGATTTGAGTGTGTGTTGCTGT